ATTAGGGACGGCTAGCGCAGATAGCCCTCGTGTAGCTTTGCGCGAAATTCCAAAAAAAAACAAACAAAACAAAACATCCATGGACAATTTCCAGTTATCATACATTAAATTATGGTAATTGAGCTTACCAACTCTGGGTGATGGATGCTAACACACACACACACATAATGGATCGTCTTTATACTAACATAGCTTGTAACTCGCGATTTATTTGATTACAGAAAATAGATATTCGTATGAAGAGTATAAGGAATAGAATGGTAAAACATTAAAATGCGGATATAGATATGTAATAGTTTTGGGCAAAGTTAGGCCTAATAATAAAAGGGAAGTTTTGTATACATGCTACCGGCAATCATGATATTAATAAAATGTTTCCTATCACTGTGTTACTCAATATTTATATAGATTTAGAAAGTTCTTTGTTTTGCAAAATCTGGTAAATAATAATAAAAAGGGACGGCAGTTATATTTAAAATTATAAGATAACCAATATTTTGAACCAACCTGATTAAGTTGTGGCCTCAAATTGTGAACGGGTAAGGCCTCACATATGCTGAGGCTGTGTTTATCACTGGCCCTCGCTGAGATCTAAAAATACTTTGAATAGCGGGCTACGTCACACTCACCGAGGACGTACTCCATTACACTTGATTTGTTTGGTGTTTTAAAATCTCCATGTTCTTTCACTCGTGTCAGAAATTTCCTTATCGTAGAACCAGTATGACCTTGTTTAAAACAAGGTCATGTAGGCTTATAAACTACATTTGATGTTTTCAATGAAGAAATACACCATACATATCGCATATGTATATCCGGATATACTTCTACGAAGTAGAGTGCGTAGCCATTTTTAAACATACAAAATATACTTCCTGATATTTGGCATGGTTATATAAATTGTACATTCAGGAACTTCATACTTCGGAAGCTTGCCAGAGTTTCACTTGTTCAAATAACCACGAAATATTTCATCAATGAGATAAAAATATGAAAATATTTTTTTGCGTATAAAATTTGTGACGTTGCACACTAACTCGTAGTAACATTCAAATGCAGGATGAACTAAAATGTGGACTGGATTTTCTTTAAGCACAGTTGATATATATATATTTTAAGACTAAAATAAAAGCCACTAAATATTTTCTTATTTAAACATTACAGTTGTGCACTAAATATATCCAAAAATGCAAGTACATGATCTTGCTGATGTTAAACGGTAAATTTAATAGTTTTATGTTTACTATTCAAATAGTCCCAATTTGAGGCACATGACTTGGACTGTTAAAAATGGTAAAAGTATCACGTATATGCTTTCGCTAATGTGATTTGAAATATTATGGAGAATATTCCAACCATTATTTTTCATGAAAAAAGCAAGAGATTAATTGAAGTAGACAATATAGAAACCATAGATTGACATGGCTGATAAGAAATGATTACTACTGAACAGAAAAAGCTATTTTTACTTGTAAAATTCACCAAGTTTAAAAATACAAACTTTGGAATGCATAATCCATTTTAATTTTCATTAAAAATTAAGTTTGCACGTAAGTATATTTTTCTTCCGAGGAGATATTAGTATACAAAAATTAATTCACCAAAGTGGTACAATAAGCCTTTCTATCAAATTTTAGATTTTGTATTTCATTAGAAAATTCGAAACTAAGGTAGTGCAAAGAGCCTCCAAGTGGTATAACGGTATGTCTGCGGACTTACAACGTTAGATATCGGTTTTCGCTGCTCTTGGTGGCTGGAGGACAGATAGTTTTGTGTATAATTACAAACAAAGAAATTTTTCAGAGTATATTCATTACTAATATATTTCTTTAGAACAATAACTAAAATACTTGCTAAAGCACGATTGTATTTTCAACTATTTGAAGTTATCAGTCTTAATGGACATCTTTCTTTATGTATTTTTTATTTGATTATCATTATTAGGATATTTACTGAATATAGGTTTGTTTTATAAACTATAGTATATAATAAATTTCATTATGGTGTCGACTTTGTTATATATGGTTCATAACCTATTTGGTGTTTAAATTTATAGCATGTTTTAAGATTTCTGAAAATTAGTCCAAAGCTAACATTATTAGAAGACGTTATAGTTTCTTAATTTCAATCAACAATAAATGATATTGTGAGGAAATGATGTAAACAGTTTTGAACGGGGTGTTATTTTACATGCCAAATTAATATGAAATATATGGATTTCTACCTAACTTCTTGTATATCTATTTAATTATTTTTGTTGGGCTTTTAATAAGATTGCTATGATAGTATTACTTTTAAAAATTGAGAAAAGCTAAATATGACAAAAAGCCCCCCCAGTATGCCTGCGGACTTACAACGTTAAAAACCGGGTTTCTATACCCGTGGCGGGCAGAGCACAAGTAGCCCATTGTGTAGATTTGTGCTTAATTACACACAAACAAACGGCTATAAAACCCCAAAGCTCTGTTATATAAATATGTAAAGTAGTCAAAGTTTTCGAGATTTTAAAAGTATTTGTTACATGTTTATAATAAACATACCAAGTGGTGCATAACGTTCAGTTTCTTAGTTTTAGGAATAAAAGAATAATAACGATTTAGATTTTATCAGAAATGTCTCCCCTTTTTCAACAGGGAAACTTTTGCTCCAGTGTTTAGAAGAAGCTTGGAACAATCTCTTTACAAATATCTTACCTATATTAGAAGCAGCTTTGTTTCTTGTCAAGGTACGTAAACAAGTAAGTCGTTCTTACGATCTAGCTTTAGGCCATTCGATATACAAGAAAATAGGATCAAGAAACGGTCGTAAAGGTTCGATGTGTGAAATGTTTCGTCACCAAGACTTGAGATAGTTTATCACTTGATTGTTTCATAACGTGTATAACTTAATAAACGTTGAGACGTAGAAATACAATTATATAGTCGCTAGTAAGTATTTTATAGTTTAAAAAAAAATCTTACTGTAATGGACGTATCATGTATGTCAGTATCTATGTATATAACCAAAACTCCTTCGTCATCTATTGAATGGCATCGCTAACAAAACATCCATACAAAAATCACACTTTGGGTATTCAAGATTCAGATAATTCGAAAAATAACTGTGGTATATGTAACAACCATTTCTATATAATAGAACACACTTTTAAATAAAAGTACTCTCCTCACAACAAGAACACGACTTTCACTAGGGCTCTACGTGAGGGTTTGATTATATATCTTTGTTGATGTAATTTTTAAATGTAGTACTGAGAAACTAATGTTCTTAAAAACTATATTTTTTTAAATAAACAGTACCACTTTTAATATATAAAAACATAAGAGTTTATATCAGTAAAATTTTGAACATTTTAAGCTCTATAAGTTGAAACATTTTGATGCAATGAGTTGCGTATGACTAAAGAGCACAATCCGAACACTTTTCCTGTGCTGTACTTCCCAGAAAAATATTATTTTTAGAAAATACTCACTTTTGTCTAAATTTTTTAAATGAAGGATGAATACTACAATTAGTAATTACTAGCACAAACAGCCGGCCGTAGGGTGGCGCTTCTGCTAGTAAACTATAATGATAAGTATTAAAAAGTTACAAGACTGGATTTATCTTAAATTAATTAGAGCTTGAGAAACATGTAACATATATTGATATATTTTTCTACCCTTCAGACGAGAGCTAGCGTCACTATTCGTCAGACTACCCTTGCTGCTTTCAGAGATGTAGTTCTTTTAAAATTAAACATGGAAGGTAAGTTGTATTAGTTGAGTTGAATAGAATTAAGAACAAGTATTTAAGAGTTATTAGAGAGATTTGGGATATTCAGATATCATATGTCATATAAAAAGTAATTCAGACAAGTTTATTGCAATTTTCTTTCTTCATGAATCCGTGACCTTAGCTTAGACATAATTTCTGAATATCGAATTTTATATCATTTTCTGTGTATAATATCGCAATAAGAATCTGATTAAAGTCGATGTTGTTGGGTAAATATTTTTATATTATATTCTTGTACAGATTTTCCAAGGATGCGAATGGTCTAGTAATCGGTGCTTCTTATTTCTTTATTAAGATTTTGTTTTATGAGATTATTTCAAAATACCCTAAATAATTCTGAGGTTTAATATGGCTTTCACGACACACAAATCATAAAGTTGATTAGGTATTGGTTACGATAGTTAGCTTCTATTTGCCTTTTCAGCATGTTATCTCTTTGATGTTGATTTATTAATAGTACAGAGTAATAAACGATATACTTAAGCTGTATAAATAGAGGAATATCAAGGCTATCAGTTTACAAACAACAGACTTAATGTTTTTAACGTATTACCTAATAACCCTCAAAATGAAGAAGCAACAATGCCTGTTAAAAGTTTGACAGAGAATACAAGATGGCGTTTTCAAGCAGATGGTTAAAAGTTAACACAGAATAAGTTTTAAAAGGAGAAGAAAAACAATGAAACATAAAATACTTTAATGTTATATTTCAATAATTACGTTTTCCTGGGAATGGTTGTTAATTAATGAATGACCTTGAGATTTATCAGCCGATAAACTGTCTGGATGATTTATGACGAATAACATCATACATTAAAGTTTTGTAAATAAAAGATTATTTAGGTTTCTAAAAATAGAATATTCACTAACGACTGAATGCTTCTATGTCTTGTCAAGTCGATCACAGATCACTTTGGTGGTGCATATTTCTTTGCAAAATTTGCGCTCTTGCAACGTTTAAGCTGCTAATCAGCCTTCAATCAGAAATACATTTGGTTTTATTGATAACAGAATTGTGACATATATTTAATTATATTTGTCATAAAACATTAAGTTAGGCCTATTATGTTTTAAAACTACATTCCTAATGTAATCCCTTACGGATTTTCAAGAATTAGAAGATCCGTAAGGGAATAGTTTAGGAATGTAGTGTTAAATATATAATAGGCCTAACATAATGTTTTATGACAAATATAATTAATTATATTAAACTTCACCAGCTTCTAAGAGGCGTCTACATAATAAAAATAGTTATTATCATGTAAATTCTTATACACTACATATTCAAGTTGACGTAGTGTATGGGAAAAACTGATGGATTATTCAGTTAAGCAAAAATCAAAAATAATTCAAACCAAAAGCTTATCAACGGTTTAACACTTGCATTACTTGGAGGTAAATAAGAAGAATTAGGAGTCTTTTCCGGTCTTTATCGTTTGTTTGTAGGATGTCAACTACAATATTTAATACACCAAACCAGAGATAACATGGAAGAAAAGAGATAATCGGCAGCTGAACGTAATTCTCATAAAAATTGTTACGATAACAAATATAGTTACTGTAAAAGCTGGTGTGACATCAGCTTTGAAAGATAATATCAACAAATGTATCCTTGGACCGTACGGTACTTCAAGTGTTGTAAATTACATCAGAATTAACACAGCTGCATATCGGATACTTACCTTTTATACCTATCATATATATTAATGAGGATAATAATACTTTATTATCATTTTTGTGTGTACATTTTTTCATTAGACGCCCTGTCCTCTGAAGTGATCGAAGTGACACCTGGTGTTAAGCATATGTTGCTTATATTATATGTAAGTATTGCTTAAATTGAATGTTTTAAATTGGTTTTCTAAGTTAATCAAAAGTAAAAAGAAGCTCGTGAATGCTAGCCGTCCCGGATGTATGCACCCAACATATTTCAAGTGCAGTATGTACGAAACGGTGTTCCACGATTTACTGACCAAACATGATAAATACAGTCTAAATTGTAACGATTTTTCATCAAATACTTGAATTACGGGTGGTATTAAGAGATCAAGTTCATTTTCATGATTAAAAACAACATTTCTTGAAAGCTATCTTAGCAGCCAGTGTTTTGTTTTATGCCAATGACTTTTTTACCTTTTGAACAGCCCGGCATGGCCAGGTGGATAAGGCGCTCGACTCACAATCTGAGGGTCGCGGGTTCGAATCCCCGTCAATGAACATGCTCGCCCTTTCAGCCGTGGGGGCGTTATAATGTGACGGTCAATCTCACTATTCGTTGGTAAAAGAGTAGCCCAAG